GAGTTTTTATTCAGTTTAATTTAATTTAATCTTATTCAAGAAGCATTTATTAAATACCTCCAGTTTACCAGGCACTGTGCTTGGTGGAGATATAAAGACAAAACATAAATTATTCTCTGCCCTCAAGGAGCTTACAGTGGGGGAGGGGAAGGGAGAGGAGAGAGGAAGGGAAGGAACCACTATGTAGAAGAAAATTAAATATAAAATAATTTCTATGTAAAGTTTATTAGAAATCAGGGGAAATCAGGATAGGCTTAGTATAGATGATGGTGCTTGAACTGAGCTTTAAAGGAAGCCAGAGGTAGAGAGGTGAGAAAAGAGTGTATTGCCTGCAAGGAGGACAAAGAAAAGAAATGAGATGGAATGTGGTCAGCAGGAAACAGGAAGTAGGCCATTTGGCTGGAATGTAGAAGGTCTAGGTAATAAGCCTCCAAAGGTAAACTAGAATCAGATAACAACTAGCATTTAAATGGAACTTTAAGGCCAGCAAAACATTTTTTTGAAATTTCTTTTTTTTATTTAATGTAATCAAAGTCATCCATTTCGCATTTCATTTTGTTTTTGCAAGGCAATCAGGGTCAAGTGACTTGCCCAGGGTCACACAGCTACTAAGTGTGAAGTGCCTGAGGCCAGATTTGAACTCAGGTCCTCCAGATTCCAGGACCCATGCTCTATCCACCTAGCTGCCCCTGCGAAGCATTTTATAAACATCTCATTTTTATCTTCACAACCACCTGGAAAGTGGATACTATAATTATTCCCAGTTTACAGACAAGGAAACTGAAGCAGACAGGGGTAAAGTGACTAACCCAGAGTCATACTGCTAATAAGTGTCTGAGACAAGATTTGACCTCTGGTCTCCCAGAGTCCTTACAAAGAGTTTAAAAACAAATAAACAAAAACCCCCAAAACCAAGTTTTAATTTTATGCTAGAGGCAAGAGGGAACCTCTAGAACTTCTGTAGTCAGGGAAGTCACTAGTCAAACCTGTGCTTTAAGAACATCAATTTGGCAGTGGAGGCAGGAAGAAGGCTATTGCAATAGTCCAGTTAAGAAGTGTAGATGACCTGTATTAGGGTGGTGGGTATGTGAATAGTGAGAAGGGGGTGCATATGAAATATATTGTGGAGGTAGAACTGTTAAGACTTGGCAACTTATTGGAGATGGGGGTAAGAGAGAATGAGGAGTTGAGGATGATTCAGGTTGGGAATCTTGGTAACTACAAGAATGGTGGTACCCCCAACAGAAATAGGGAAGTTAAGAAGAGGAGAGAGTTTTTATTTACTAATTCCTACCTGCTGTTGTTGTTATTCAGTCATGTCTGATTCTCCAGGACCCTACTTGGGACTTTCCTGGCAAAGATAATGGTGTGGTTTGCCATTTCTTTCTCCAGCACATTTTACAAGTGAGGAAACTGATACAAACAAGGCTAAACGACTTGCCCAGGGTCACATAGCTGGTAAGTGTCCAAGGCCAGATTTAAACTCAGGAAGATGAGTCTTCCTGACTCCAGGCCCAGCACTCTATCCACTGAGCCAATCTGGCTACCTTGAAAGGAGAGAAAATGGAAGGGAAATATAATGAGCTCTGTCTTAGACATGGTGAGTTTGAAATATGTTTAGGCCATTCAGTTGAAAATATCCAGGAGTGATATGGGACTGGAGTTCAGTAGAGAGGCTAGTGCTAGATATATAGATCAGGGAGTTATTTGCATAGAGGTGATCGCCGAAGCCATGGGAGATGATGAAATCACCAGGAGAGTCAATGGTGAAGCAGCATGAGTACTGATATCAGTTTCCTCATCTGTAAAATGAGCTGGAGAAGGAAATGGCAAACCACTCCAGTATCTTTACCAAGAAAACCCCAAGTGGGGTCACGGAGAGTTGGACACGACTGAAATGACTGAACAACAACACTGATATCATTGAGAAATATATGATCGTAAAAGTAAGTGGGTTGGTCACGTAGCAAGAAAAAGACAGTAGCTCATCAGTTCCCTCTTACACCGGTACTCTCAAGATGTTAAAAGATTAAAAGGAAGTCCTCCAGTCCATTAAGACAAGGACAAGAACTACACAGGATGAAAAGACATGGAGGGGTTGTTATCCTAATGCAGTGAAGGGAGCACTACACCAATGAGATCAGAGTGATTGAGTGGAAATATCATTGGATTTAGTGTCAGAGATCCCAGGTTTGAATCCTAGTAATGCGGTTTAGGGGTTCAGGGGTGCTGGGACCCCAAAATCACAACACATGGGTTCTGCCTGAAAGAATTCAACCCAAGCCTTCTTTCAGCCAAAGACAATGTTTATTAGAACATCCATCATATTGGGCAGACCCTTTAGGAGTCTGAACATTAGTAAGCTATTGGTTAGATTGTAAGAATCTGAGCAGTGGCTAGATTATAAATCTGAGCACCTTAATGGAGACTAGATGGACCTTATGTACAGAAAGCCTGTGGGAGGGACCTAGGAGTGACCAGTAAGCTGGGGTGAACAGAACTCCAGGGACCTGGACTGCGTGGCCAAAGGAGAGTGTAGCCTAGCTAGGATTAAGGGTAGGAAATGGTCTGGGGCCATAGGGAGGTAAGACAATGGAGGGGAGGTTGGGTGTAGCCACAGTGAAAGTCCAGTTGATGGGATTATAGCCTCAGGGGAAAGCCAGAGATTTGGCAGTGTGGGAAAGTCCAGGGTTTTTCCTTTCTGGGGCCCAGATCCCAGCCCCATCATTAGCACTGCCACGTGCTGTACCACCTTGACAAAAATCATTTAACTCCTCTGGGTCTCACTCCTCTTACCTTTAAAATGAGTGTTTCAAAATAGATGACCTCCGAGGTACCTTCCAGCTCTGGATCCATGGTTTTAAATCTATGACCTGTGACAGATTTATCCAAATAAATGCCCCCAATCCCTTTCTCTAAGTGGGTTCAAAGTATGACAAAAGAAATACAGATAATGAAACCACCAAGTGAAGAAGACCCTGCACAGCAGCAGTTGGGAAACTATTTTGTTGATCTTCTCTCTCCAACTCTGCTGCTTGTTGGGATCTACTCTATACTGAGGATGGACAAATAACCGCTCAGACTCATGCAAAGCACAAATCGAACCAAACTTCACTTTCCCTCCAATTTTATTTTCTTTCTGTAGGCAAAAAGGAAGATAAGTACATTAAGAGCTTTGGTTTATGGGAAAGTAGTTTCTCCTGCGTTACCACAGGCTACAGACTGAAATGGTGCCCGGAGAACTGAGAGACAGTGACATCACAAAGAAAGGGTCAACAATGGAGTTGTAAGCAGCAGAAGCAAAGTTACAGGGAATTTAAAAGTAAGAATGTATCTTAGGACATTCAACTTAAGTTATATAGATAGCAACAGAGATGATATCACATCAGAAATTGTTTCTTATCTCGAATCTCTTTTGATTTTTCACCATAGAATTTTAAGCTCCTTAAGGGCAATGCCTGTTTTGTTTTTGTCATTGTGTCTTCCCAGTACCTTCCCATATAGTAGGCACTTATGAATGCTTTTTGAATGAATAAATAAAAGGTGAGAAGAGAGTAGAATTAACTGGTTGGTCCATCCCATTCTATGATATATCATAATAATAAATACAATAAAGTATTATAATCATAGTAAAATATCTGACCCATTTAGTTCAAGAAAAATGTATATAATAAAATCAAAACATTATATGTATATAATAAAATTTAAAAATAAGGTAGTATATTATTAAGGGGGTTGAAATATACGTATATAGAAATAGTCTAAGATTCAACCATGCAATCAAGCAACACCCACTTATTAAATATTTTCTATTTGTTCTTATTTCTCTCATCGCCACCTCCAGAACTGAAAAGGGGTTTGTGGCACTGGGCCTAAATTCATGGAAAGAAAAATGGGAAAAAAGGCAGGGAGATGAAGATCAAAGAGTCAAGCAGCAGTCATCTGATTGAGGTCTTATACCACTTTGATTTGTGCAAGAGACACAAAGATGCTCAGTACTAATCCAAGCTGCTCACTCTTGCCAGTATTTCCCAATCTATGGTTAACTGGGGCAAGAAGAAATGGAAATGAATCTGTAACTTTTTCCAGAAGGTAACAATTGAAGGGTGTATAGAGATTGCCTACCTAGTCAGCAAGTTTAACGTTCCCATAAATCCCATTCCCTCCCAGCCCCAGGGCCAGAAGCCTGGACAGGAACTCATCCCAGAACTCATCCCTTTTTGTTTGTTTTTCCATGCAGTTGGTGGGGGGGTTGGGGGGGGAGGACTAACATTTTCCTTCCCAACAACCACTTCTCCCCACTCCCTACAGTTCCTGGTTTTCACAGTTTCCTAATGGTCTAGTCTAATTATTTCTTTCCCTTGCTATTATTTAGAAGGTAATTTCCAATCACAGATCACAGCTACACAGTATGCAAGCTGTCCAGGTTAGAAGAGTGCCTCTCCAGGCACAGCAGGAGAGCTTCCCTCTTTCAAATTAATCTCACGCCCCTCCCTCCCAGGAATAGCTTTCCCCTGGAAACACAGATTGCTCCAGTCAGGCAGGCGATGCCCCAATGTCCAGGAGTTGGGAACGGGAGCCGGACTAGGAAAACAGAGCAGACCCCTCTTCCCGAGAACCCGGCGGCCTCGGTCACGTCACACCCACTGGGCTCAGCGCTTCGCGGCGCCCCGCTACCTCCGCTTGTCCGGACCTGCGGTATGGGCAGCGAACTGCTCCGCCTCTTGGCCACCCTGGGCTAAGCAGCCCAGAGAAGGCTCCTGGCCGCTGGAGGCAGTGGGTGAGCCGAACCACCCCAGCTTTAGGGAGGTTGGGTGTGCCACAGGTGGGCTGGGCGCCTCGGAACGCCCCGCCCTGCTAGGAGAGGGGGAGGAGGCGAAGCGCAGAGCCAGGGATCCCCGAGAGTACGGGAGAATACGGCTGGATAGGAGGAGCCAGGGGCGCGGAGCAGGGGAGGAGCCGGCCACTGGAGGAGGAGGGGGAGGAGGAGGGGGCGTAGGCGGATTTCCTGGGCCCGGCTTGGAGGGTTCACCATGGCGTTTGGGAAGAGCCACAAAGATCCCTTCGGGACTTCCGTGGGCCACCTGATAGGTAAGAGGCGGGGTGAGCACCTCAGCGAAGTTACCTGAGCCAGGTTCCTGCGTAGTCCCCTGCCAGCGGAGGACTGAGTTCATGGCACCTGCACTCTTCAGACCCCTACCTTGGCTGTTGAACCTTAGACTCTAGTCCATTTCCCTGTCCCAAACACCTCTACTCCCTCGTAGGCAACGAGCCCATGTCTGCCCCCGTAGTGTGGTTTCCAAGATTTATTTCTATTTTTCCTGGTCGCGGGGGAGAGAAGTGCGCCAGGTGAACCTGGGATTGCAGGGGAAGAGCCCAACCTGTGGTGCCCTGCCTCAGATTTTTGGAGCCTGGGGGATGGGGAGGAGAGTCAGCTCAAGGAGAGCCCAGAAACTTACTCCAAACCTTTGTCACAATGGGGCCTTTCTCATTAAAAAAGGAAATTGGCACCATGAAAGCCTGACCTGTGGCTTTCCTGGATAAACAAAGAGTAAAGATTAGACCAATTGCTGGGCTTAGGAGGGAGGGGTCTGAAAGCCACTGGTGGCTTGGGGAGCCAAACTTCAGAATTTATTCCTTTTCTTTCCCTGGGACGTTCTAACCCTAAAGTATAATAGAATAGAAGCCAGTGCTTAAGCACTTTAATGGAACTAGCTCAGCTCTGCAAGTGTTTTGTTCCAGAGACATTTCCTGATTTCTCCTGCTGTCAAGGGTACTTCCTCCATCATTGTGTAATTTGTCTTGTAGATATCCAATATTTAGGTATCTGTAAACATTTTTTTATCTCGTTGTAGAATGTAGAATAGGGCATCGACTTTCTCACTTTTGTATCCCTAGTGCCTAGAATGTAGCAATAGGAATTGGACCTGCAAATTCATTGGTATTGGGAACTTCTGGATGAGAAAATTCCTTCTCACCTTGCAGTTTGGTATCTTCTATGCAATTTATATAATTAGTTGCCTAGGGCACAGAGAGTTTCAGTGACTTGCCCATGGCAATATGGCAGGTGTCTGAGTGGAGGCCAGCTCTCTATCCTAGCCTCTACTTTGTTTGTAGTTAAGTGCATGATAAAAGTCTGTTGACTGATTCATTGGATCTGAGGAACTAGGAAGATGGTATGATATGTTAAGAACCCAGTGTCTGAGGTGTTGACAATCATGGTCTGACCGGTGATCTTAAGTATTTGGCTGTGGGGTGGAGCCCTGGGCAGAAGTTTTGTGTCAAGTACCATCAATAGTAGCTGGAGGAACCTCATCCAGTCTTGGCTAAATGTTGTTGTTCAGTCATTTTTTAGTAGTGTTTGACTCTGGGTGACCCCATTTGGAATTTTCTTGGGAAAGATACTGGAGTGGTTTGCCATTTACTTCTCTAACTTATTTTACAGATGAGGAAGCTGAGGCAAACAGGGTAGGTGACCTGCCCAGGGTCACTCAGCTAGTCTGAGGCTGGATTTGAACTTGGGTCTTCCCAACTCCAGGCTGGTGCTCTATCCATGGTGCCATTTAACTGCCCTTGGCTGAATGACCCTTCTCTGAAACCAGATGTCTTCCACCACCCCTCACCAATGCCAATGAGGGATGGCCCTAATTAAGGCTGTGATGGACTCAAATTGACATCACGAGTGCTTGGAACTCCTTTGTCATCACCCATTTTGCTCTCCTACCCTCCAACTTCCCAGTCCTCCCTGTAGAAAGGCAGGATCTGATAAACTTATTCACATAGTTATGACTGACTTTTTAAAATTGATTTACACAGAGTTGCAAGGGACTTTTTATACTCTTCTCTACATGTATTTGCATTTTTAAAAGACTGCCTTTGAATATCAAAGCAATGACTCTAGTGGTGGAATTATTAGGCAATTTCAGTTTCTGCTGAACCTGAGTATGGGAAGATTTTATTTTCAAGGCAGCCATGCTGAGGCCCCTCAAACCTTCTTCCCCTCACCCTACTCCCTGACTATGTAGACTCTGACATGCCTTTGCAAAAAAAGCTATCCCCTGCCTTGTTCTCCTCCCCTTTACCCCACGATGAATGGAGTAGAAAGTTCAGATCACCCACCTGGCCAAATGCTGGCCTGAACTTTGGGGAAAATTATAGCTCTGGGTTGGCCTTTATTATTTTTTTTCCAAAGTTTTTCTACTGCCAGGGGAGAAGCTAGGCCTTGTGGATTTAGCGTTACCTAAAATCTTCTTGTCTGAAGTTTCACAGGAGAAAATGTGAAGGAGACTCAGCCTTGCCATTCTAGTCACTGCATTTCTAAGCAAATTAAGAAGCATTTGGCATGCTGGGGGATTTCTCAGCTAGCCACTCTGGCCCTTGATGCCAGTCACTGGGACCTGAACTGCCTTACTAATAGGCCAGCTGATGGGGATTGCCAGAGCAAGGAACAGCAGCAGTTGTACTTGGATGCTGACAGATTTTAAATCATGCTCTCTGTCCTCAACTCTGCCTCTTGGAATCCCCAGCTCCCTTCATGGCCCTGCTGTGCTACCTCCCACCTCCTTCTGGAGGCATTTCCAAGTTACAATCTCCTCCCTCTGTGTCCCTCCAAGTATTCACCCCTATTTCCTCAAATCACTACAAAAAATAGAGATAGGTAGATTGTATGTATGTATATTTGTTTGTATGCATGTATGTATCTGAGGGGAAACTAGGCGCATGGGATAGCAGGAAATTCTGTTATTGTCTATGTGATCTTTGAGAACTAAGTCACTTAAGCACTTAGGAAATTCTCTAAGACCCTAAGTTACAAATAAGTTGCCTATTTGCATTGCTGATGAGAGAATTTCCTACAATAATGAATGATCCAGTTCAGATAATTTTGTATTTATGTATCCCTAAATAATAGTAATTAATAATAATAACAACTAGCATTACAAAGATCTTTTAGGTATGCAAAACTCTTTTGACTCATTTGATACTCACAATCCAGTGAGGTAAGTGCTGTTATTTTATGCTTTTTACTGACAAGGAAACTGAGGCTGAAAAAAGTGAAGTGATTTGCCCAGGGGCATGAAGCTTGTTAGTTGCTGAAGCTGAATTTGAAATCAGGTCTTTCTGACTCCCAAGTCTATTGTGACCACCTAGTTATATTCCTCAGTAGAATGCAATCACCTTGAAGGCTAGGACTTTGTATAATATGTACATAATGATCCATATTTGCATTTTTTTAAAAAATAATGCCATTAAACAATATAACAATAACTCTTCAATGGTTAAATTACAGTGCAAATCAAATTTAAGTGGACCTCAGTTCCACTTGTTAAACATGTTAAACAAAATCCCCTGTCCTTGAAGCACTTAATTCTGCTGGGAGATACCACATATACAGAAAAAAATAAATACAAAATGATTCTAAACTATGATATCTATTTATATCCCTAGGGGTTAGCACTTTCCTTTGTATACAGTAACCATTTAATAAATGTTTCTTGAATGAATGAATCCTTTTGCTCACTTTTGATGATTTCAAATTAATGAGACTTTCCTATCAAAATTTCAGACTGTGCTTCAGGAAGATGAAAGATTATCTTCAAATTGTTCTTGCCAAGAGTAAAAAACAGTTGCTTTTTCTTTGCAGAAAAGGCTACGTTTGCAGGTGTTCAGACTGAAGATTGGGGCCAGTTCATGCACATCTGTGACATGATTATCACCAGCAAAGACGGGTGAGTACGTACAGGGGGCCGATGTTGCCTGCTAGAAGAGGGGCATCTTCAAAGGACCTAGCTCATTCTTCTGAAAACAGCCTGCCTGATTCACTTGTTCAGAAGCTTCACACATAGCACTGCCTCTGTGTTTTCTAGATTTAGTCCAAAAGAGATTATCCTAGAGATGTATGACCTGAAAGGGAGGTAAGTAGGCTGGTCATGTATTGAGAGTAAAGGCTAATGGACAGTGTGCATAGCTTACATACTGAACTGGTACCTGAATCATATTAAAAAACCTAGAGGAAGCCCCCATCACATTGGGAAGACCAGTTGTAGATGATTTGAGGCTGTGTGGACAAGCATGTCATGGGATAGGAAGGCATGAATGGATTGTAATCTATGCCTGTTGTGTCAAACTTAAGTAGAAACAGGACACATAAGAATCCCTGCAGGCTCTCATGTTGACTTTGAAAACCATATATTAATCTATGTTTTATTGTAGTTTTATTTATTTTGTTAAGTATTTCCCAAATCCATTTTAATCTGGTTCTTCAGCACTTGAGAATGTTGTAAGCCTTGTTGCCCATGGACCACATTTGACACCTCTGATCTCGATGATACAGAGAGAAATCTCTGAGATCGCCAATCCACTGAAGTTACCCTATGGAGTTTCACTAATCAGAACTAAGGGAAGAAATTAGTCTGGATTATAAATTATGTTGAGAAATAGAGTTTGATTACTCTCTGGTCCATAGTTCAGCTGTCAAGTAGAGGTCCCGACTATTATACTTTAATACAAAAAATTTTTGTAGCTGACATCCATTTATTATATGCAAATGGAGAGTGCTAAGGTACTTGAAAATGGTTTGCTCTTCATTAGTTTAAATGTTTGCCATGTAACTAATTAATTTCTTTAGTTAAACCTTTCTTCCATGGATGAAATAAGCCTCAGAGAAATGTTAACAGGTAATAAAAACTTTAGCCTCTGAATTCTGATTAGTTCATTAATTTTTTGCTACAAAATAGTGGTTCCTCACCTTTTCAAATGTGAGGATTTCTTCTCCACATCAAAAAATTTTGTCAACACTTATATGATAGTAGTTGTTCTGTGAGTGCCTTTTGATTGAGAAAATACCTGATGACAAAAATCCGATCTGGGGTCTGTTATACTTTTTGCTTGGATTTTATTCATTCCAATAGCATCTACATTTGAAAAACAGTAATACTTGATTGTGCAGGGAATTAAGCATACAGCTTACAGAAGGCATATTTATTGTACTGTGTTAATGCTGCATATTTCATTGGTACTAAATATTAAAGGCAACTATGGTATGGTGGATAGACATCTAATATTGGAGCCAGGAAGACCTGGGTTCAAGTCTCACCTCTGTTAAACCCTGCTGTGTCATCCACAGGTATCTCACTTAACTTCTCAGTGACCCCAGGCAATTCTCTCATATTATAGTTATAGTTGCTAATCTGCATTGGTAGAGGGGGTTTTCTTAGAGGAAATTTTCTATATCCATGAAATTCCCAGGTAGGTTAAAAAAAAGAGTAAAATGTCAATGTTTGGTGCATGTAAGATTTTCAGACCCCCTTGCAATAACTTCTTGGGGTTTGGCAACCATTGCTTAAAATGGCAATCATGTAAGCTGATCAAAGTCATTCCTGTGGCGTGTTACCTGTTACAGCAAATAGGTGGTCAAGAAACATTCTTTAATGGGGGAGGTGATGAACAAGCCTCAGTGTTTTTTGAAGGATATTTCACTATAAGCTGCATAATGTGGTGAATAGAAACTGATTTGGACTTGGTAGTCCAAGGTTTGGACTTTCATCAGCCTTGAATTAAGTGGTATGATTTCGCCTCTGGTATTCCCATAGTTCTGTAGTTTTCCTTAATTGGCATGGGAAATTGACTCATGATCCCACTTGGGTTTCTCTATCTCTGAACATTTTTAGAAATCAGGAAAATTGATTTGATCACTGTGCTTCTCTGTTGTCACAGGCCAAAAGAGGCCGTAAGAGCTTTGAAGAAAAGGATTTCTAAAAACTGTAATCACAAGGAGATCCAGCTTACCTTATCGGTGAGTACTTTAACACAATCACAATAAAGACTTAAAATTCCTAGTTCTTTGACCTCTGAAGGATTTTTTAAAAATTCAGCAGGAATACATACATATAAAATATACATATTTATGTATATACATGTATATTTGTACAGATACAGAGAGAGAGCTCTATCTCTTATCCATGTATCTGTCCTGCCTGCCTGCCTGTCTGTCTGTCTGCCTATCTTTCTATCTGTCTATTTATCTATCTATTTATCTGGCTGTCTGGCTTTCTATCTACCTACCTGTCTATCTAACTTATCTGTCTATCTATTTAACTTATCGATTTGTCTGTCTTTCTACCTATATATGTCTGTCTATCTAACTTACCTGTTTGTCTACCTGCCTACCTACTACCTATCTACCTACCTGTCTATCATATATCTATCTGTCTGTCTATCTATCTATCTATCCATCTATCTATCTATCTATCTGTCTATCTATCGATCCATCCATCCATCCATCCATCCATCCATCTATCTGTCTATCTATCTATCTATCTTATCTATTTGACTATCTATCTATCTATGTCTATATAATTTACCTGTTTGTCTATCTGCCTACCTACTGCCTATATGCCTACCTATCTAACTTATTTATTTGTCTATCTTTCCATCCATCCTATGATTTCATAGTATGAGTGATGAGATTAACACCTGCTTTGCATTTTATAGTCATAGGGAATTGCCTGGGGCACAGAGAGGTTAAGTGACTTGTCCAGGATCACGTGGCCAGTATGTGACAAGGGCAGGATCAGATCACCATGCTGCCTCTCTCCCATGTGAGAGGCACATATTTATGATGATGCGTGATATAGTGCCTACATAGCTGGTTTCAGAGATAGGAAGCACTTGGGTTCAAGTTTTGCCTCTGACACCTACTGGCAGTGTGACCCTGGACAAGTCACTTTTAGAGCACCAGGTAATGTTCCTATGACTATAAATTGCAGAGCAATTGTCAATCTGCATTGGTAGAGGGAGTTTCCTCACTGGAAGTTGCGTATGTGTGTATACATGTGTGGACACGTATGTATATGTATTACTTTGTATGGGTTTTATGTGTGCATGAAAGCAGGTATGTATATGCAAGTATGTGTATACACACAGGTGTATGTATACATATATTTATTGTATATACACATGCATATATATGCATACATATAAATATATATTATTACTTAGAAGGAGGTAACGCTTAAATCAGCAAAGAACTCCATATTTATAGGGAGCTAAACAGTTGAGTGAGGTTAGCAGCTGAGGAAGTTGTACTTGTCCTGCTTAATTTCATGGAGCAGTAACTTACATTTGATATGAATTTTAGTTTCAACAGGATTCTGAGAAAGTCTTAATTTGTAATAAGGAGTAAGTGATTTCAGACCAGCATCAAGGCCCTTAACTCATTCAAGCCATTTGTGTAGATGTTGCTGAAAATAGCCCCTCTCCCCACCCAAATACACACACACACACACACACACACACACACACACACACGCATGCATGCACACAATACTTTCTATTATTTTTATACAGTGACATATTCATGAGCTTCATCTTCTATTTCAATTACATTTCCAAGTCCTGTAATATTAACAGTTTGTTGTATTTGAATCAAGATACCTCTGATGTTCAGGTTGTTTCTAGGAACATTTGGCTTTGAATTAAGGGTTTTTTTTTTCCTTTGATATTAGTTTCTTTTTCTTTACTGTTTTGGATTATCCATGTTTTGGATGTGGAAGCTTATTTGACTTGTCCCCCCTTTGTTCTCTCCCATCTTTTTTCCATATGACCTTCAGTAACCTTGGTGAGTTTCTTTTTAACTGGACTGCTTGCAAACTCTGCCTTCCTTCCACCTGAATAAAAACCGTATTGCTTTCCCTTTCCCTGCACGCCTCTCTCTATTTATTCTAGCATTACATCAGTGATGCATGGTTACAGTACTAATCAGGCAGAATCACGCCTCACCTGTGAGCTTTGGAAGTGTTTATCAAGAGAGCTGTTGGGTAAATATTGGAATGTCTCAGATTTCCAATTTCAGTCACTAACAACCGTTTACTGTGGCTCTATTACATGGACAACAGCCTGATAGCAATACAAGGACAGCCCTAAATAGCCCTAATGAATCAATGAAATGACTCTCCAAGTTGAATTCCAGAGATGTTTTATCTCTATTCTACTCCATCATCCTCCTTTCCTGATTTTCTTTTTTCTTATATTCCCTTTCTGTTGGGGTTACAACTAGTGATCATCCCAAGTAGTTTAGTCTCTCTTATTCCTTCTTGTCTCTCCAAGCCTTAATGGCAGCTCATTTGTTCCGCCTTAGAAAGAACTACATGTTCTTAGCGCCGTGATGCCCAAATCAATACTTGGCAATAGTAGTTTCTGGTATAGGAATGAAGCAGAGAATCATAAAATCATAGAGGTAGAGGAGAAAATTAGAGATTATCTAGTTTGCCCCTCTCATCAAAGAAACTGAGGCCCAGAGTTGTAAATTAGCTTACCCAAGTTCACACAGCTAGTTAGTCTGGTCCAGCTGGAACTAGGACTTTCAGCTCAGTGTTTCATCCGGGCGCAGCATTTTCCTCTGTAGTCAATGGAGCAGTAGCTGTAACTTCAGACTGATTATTGTCCCAAAAGTGTGTGCTCAGACAGTTACTTTATAATTTCAGTATTTGCTTAAGCCAAACATAATTTTGAAGGAAATTATACTTGTAAAAAGATCATATAAAAATTTTCAAGCCAAGTTTAAAGACTCCTGTATTGTTTGCTAATTTGGATTACTGGTTTTTCTGTTTGAATATGTGAGTTGGAGTTGGCTTGCTTTGGTATCTCCCTGCTGTTAATTGTAGAACCATAGTGTTCTATTTAGATAGTGATTTGCCAGCAAACATCCTCACTAGGTTCCAAGAAGCTGAGCTGGGGATTAGTCTTCCTTAAAATAGTTAACAGTGATGGAAATACGTCAGGTGACATTATTGAACATTGTTATAACCAATCTCCATGGAGAGGGAAGAGGATGCTTTCCATCGTCAAGTATTCGTCACCTCCTGTGTACTCATAATGTTAGTAGATGCCATGAGATATTGAAAAATGTATAAGGCATGGTCTCTGACCTCAAGGAAGCTACAGACTAGTTGAAAAGACAAGACTAATGCAGAAGAAAAAATACTAAGTAGTAATCACAGCGATTCAAAAGTTCCCTCCCACCAACAGAAATCACAGCCCAGTGGTGCCTACTCATCATGTGTAACCCTTGTTCATCTTCTTCTCAAAGCAAGAAAGTGTATCAAGTGTTAAAATGTGAAATGGACACTAAAAGTTGGTAGAATTCAGAAAAAAATAAGTGAGACTTGGGATCTCACTGTGTACATCGTCACCAGTATCTAAATATATAAAAAAATAAACAGACATATTTTTCATTTTTTTCTGTGAAAATAGGTTAAGTTGCAGGGTATTTTGTTTTTATTTTAAATCTGGGCCATCAGTTTGAAAAAGTCCAGGTATGGAAACTCTCCACCACACAGATACTCAACACTTGGACAGCTTGTCTACAATTTTAAGAGTTTTTAGAGTCAACTCTAGTCTCAGTTCTTGTTTTCCTCAGATGTTAACTGATTGTAATTTCATATGAAGTTTCTCTTGGCTATTTGTTGTCACACAAAGGTTATTACAAATTATCCCAGAATCTCAGTGCTCTAAGAAATAAATAAGGACCAGTTTGTGAGTTCCTTCATGTAACCCTTTTCATCTTTGGAAGATCTAAGAAAAAGTGCTTATTTTTCAGAATATAGTTTCATAGAAGCAACTTCTTAGAAGAACCTAGCTAATTCCCTTAGCCATTAGTGCTCTCTCCAGCCTTAAATTTTCCCCTATGTACTGTTTACATATTGTTTCTCCAAAGTAGAATGTAAATTCCTTGAGGGCAAGGACTGTTTTTCCCTTTTTTGTCTTTATATCCCCCAGCCCCCTACAGGTCTTTTCACATGGTAGATGACTAAACACTGGGTGGACTGGGATCAATCTAGGTTGGAATCCCAGCACATGTTCTCTAAGTAAATTCTAATTTACTCTACCTTCCATTGGGTATCTAACCTGTTTGGGACCTCTTAAGTCAGTCAGTCAGTTGAAAAACATTTAATGAGTGTCTACTAAGGACCAGCCACTGTGCTAATAGGAGATACAAAGAAATGCAAAAGATAGTTCCTGTCCTTGAGGAGTGCAGGATTTAATGGGGGAGGCGACATGCTAACTATATACAAACAACAGAGGATAAATGTAAAATAATCAACAAAGGAAAGGCACTCAAATTCAGTACAGCATTTTCCTATGGCAGGTCCAATTTTTGGCATAAATTTCTGAGATTAAATTTTAGATTATGATGATGATACCAATAAAAATAGAGCTGGCATTTATATAGCACTTTTAAGGTTTGCAAAGTCCTTTTACAAATATTATTTCTGTTTCTCCTCATAACAACCTTGGGAGATGGATGCTATTATCTCCATTTTACAGATGAGGAAAATGAGGCAGACAAAGGTTAAGGACTTGCCTGGGATCCCACAGCTGTTAAGTTTCTGAGCATCTGGAGAATTCTGAGAATCTGGACCTCAGGTCTTCCAGATTCCAGGTTCAGCTTTCTACCCACTTGCCCACCCAGCTGCCAGTAGAGCTGTTGGCTGTTCTGGCTTGGCCTGGTGAAGAGAGGAATACTTGTACTGATGGGCCCTGCTGTGGCTCATGTTTTGTTTTGTTTTTTTTTAGTTTTGATCTTGGTTTTAGAAGAAGAGGCCTAGGTTTAAATCCAGTCTATAGTGCTTTCTGTGCTTTTTCATGCTTCTCAGTTATGTAATCCCAATCAAGTCATTAAACCTCTGTGTACCCCCAGTCAACTCCCTAGGACCTCAAAGAAGTTGTAAGTTCTCTACCCTTACCTCAGTGAATGGGTTCCCACATAGAATTCAGAGTTCTTCTGTGTGTCCT